ACATCAAAATAAATAGCTTGTCAGGGATGGGAGGAGAGATACCAGTTTATATGCAATTCAAATTTGATCTATAAAGTACGTGATTTCCTTTCCTGTTCCTAGATCATAAATGGCTTACGGCGGTTTGAGATAGAGTACCAAGGAGATACTGATCTTCAGCCCATTAGAAGTTATGAAAATGCCACTCTAGTGCGACTGTTGTTCCAGTTATCCTCAGCAATTAATCAAAGGGTAAATGTAATGAGAAGTCTTCTTTCTCTTTTTCAGTTGCATATTCCTATTCTCCCTCTGACCTGTGTCAATGTACAACTTACACACTTGCTTTGTACTCTCACCATTAATGTGACTTCTGCATGAGTTTGCAAATATTCCATAGGGCTCTTCTTCCAGCCTGGAATCACCTTTTTTCCCCTATTGCTCAAGAGTTGTAAATGTCACAACATTCTCTCCAAATCAGAAACAGTACACTGAAATGTATTGTTCATGGTAGATGAGGTAGAAGGAATATCCTTCACAGGATTATATTAGCACATACAAGCATAATGAAAGAACACTCTGTTTCCCAAGGTGTCAAAATAAGCAGGAAAAGGGTTAATCCAACCAAACCCTTTTATTTCTTCCTCCTCCTGCCTCTCACTCCTTTAAGATCTGGCTTGCAACTTGATAGTCCTCTCTCCACTGTATCCTGACATAATATGTACACACCACTGTTGTTCCAGATTTCCTTCTGTTGGTTTAGTTCTTTGTACCGCTAATAGTAAATTAGCAGAATTACTACAGTACAAATGTAAATTAGTGTTGGAACAATTCTAACTTTTGAAAGACATAGGAGTTTTGAGTTATAATTGCTATAATCCTCTTTCCTGTCCTCTTAATACAAACCAAAACATAAAAGCAACAATTTTTCAGTGTTAACCTAAAATCCACATTTTAATTTTTGTTTACATTTTTCTTGTTCGGTCACTGACTTTGTTTTTCTTACCTTAGTTTGCTGATCAAATGGAGATTCTCTGCTCCAGGGAAGACTTTATTGGCAGGTTGTGTCGCTATCATCTTACCAACCCATTCCTTGCAGAGAAGGGCAGGCACAGCCCAGCACTGAAACAAAGATCAGGACGTTCTCGGCGACCAAGGATCAGTCTGAGATTTCTGGCTAGCTACAGGACTCTTCTTTCTTTGTTCATGATATACTTCATTGCATCTTGGTTCTGCATTGGACCACTGGCCTGCACATTCATTATTCTCCTTGGGTATCTTCTTTATGCAATAGTAATGACTTTCTTCACTGAAAGGTGGAAACCTCATCAACACTAATTTTTCCCTTCAGTGTACACTGTAAAACAAACTTTTTAAGGATAAAAGTACAGTGCTTCGTGATTAAAAGGCTTCGGCAAAGGATCACTTCAAAACTTTTAAGTGTGTTTTTTTGTATTAAAGTTGAGCCAGAGGGATGGGTTTGTGGTTGTAGAAGCCACTGTAATCTATGTAAATTCTGTTTTGATAAACTGTCTTTTCTCCACAGTTTACTGAATGTGCGGGATGAGAGACACTGTTTGTGGTTTGGGGAATAACCGCCAATGATTATGGAGCTGAAATGAATAGCCCGAAGTAGCTATGGGAAACTACACATAGAAACAGCTCTAGATTTGGCAATCTATCCATAGTGCGGCTTTTTACTTTTACCACTTCATGTGGGAATTGGCCATTTGAACTGCTTTCTGCAGGTTTTATATCATGTTGTTGGGGAGGGGGTTTTCAGTGTGACAAAGGCAATAGTAGCCACAAATCATGAGTTCTGTACACAAAGCTGAATCCCAAAAAATCAGTAGGACAAAAATGACATGATTAGCATAAACAAGTTTTTGGCTTAAATTACTCAAAAGAAATCTGGGGGAAATAAGTAATAATAGTTTGGCTTAGAAACAGGAGAGGGGAGTTGCATCTTGTTGCAAGCTACATATGATTGCTTTGATTTGCAAAAAATTGCAATTTAAATATTTCAAAGTACCAGGAAAGGAGGAGAAGCTGGTGGCAGGAATCCCATAGCCTAGCACAGGGGGCTAACTCTGCATTCCCTTTTCTGAACCAATACATACTTGTCGTCTTCACTGGTCCCTGTCTTTTCAAAATGAGGAACTCTGGGAGTTGATTCTTTTAGCATTTAACTTGACAACAACAAACCATGAGTCATGTGCTAAAAGGGAGAATTTAGCATTCATCTAAACTAAAGTTCTAGTTTTCTGGGTATCCCCTGATGCCATTGGTCCAGCATTCCTACTGTGACCGCCATTAGCACCTAGTGTGAATAAATCAGTCACTCCACACACTGCAGTATAAAACTATCAAAGAAACTGTAACCTTCCATTGTACTGACACTCACTCAGTTGTAGAGAGGAAATTATATCTTTTAACATTTTCTCCAGAACTTGAGCTCTGACCAGATTTATGTCTACCCACCATAAAATGGGTTCCTTCTCTGCCCGCACTACTTCTTTAGCAAGTGGTCTACCTTCCCAGCAACAAACTACACCTCTACCCCGATATAACGCTGTCCTCGGGAGCCAAAAAATCTTACTGCGTTATAACGCGGTTTCACCTATCTCGAACGTGCTTTGATCCGCCGGAGTGTGCAGCCCTACCCCTCCGGAGCGCTGCTTTACCGCGTTATAGCTGAATTCGTGTTCTATCGGGTCACGTTATATCGGGGTAGAGGTGTACTTTAGAAAAGACTCACCAACTAAACCAAAGTAAATTGAGCTTCTTTGTTTAAACAAACAACATGTTTAAGGAATCAGTTAGTTTAACCTGCTCTCCTCTGAAATACACTGCTGTCAGGTGCAGTTGTGGCACTTGTGTAAAGGATTAAATACACCTTGCTGTAGTGAGATGTAAGGACCAGATAATTTGCATTAAGTGGAATAGGTGTGTTCAGTTTTCTCTTACCTATATGTATGCATTTAATAGATCTGTGTCTGGAAAACAGCTAACATTTGGCTCTAGATTGGGAGCTTTCTAATACATTAGAATTTATAAATTTTTGGCAGCACCCAAACTATTTTTCCATGTTTCCTGATAACTGCATTTCCAACTTCTGTTTCCCAAATCCAGGGAACCCTTCCGTCATCTTGTTCAATCAAATTTCTCTTTGTGGTACAAGTTTCTTCTTTTGAAACCGCGTGTGTAAATTAAAGTGCTTGCTTGATTTATTTTTAAAGCAAAGTCTCCTGGTGTGTGTTTGTGTTAAACCTTCTTTTTGAGCAGGACTGTGTTGCAGTGTGTGCAAGTGAAATAGTGAGTACTGTACTAGGCATTTATTTTTAGTACGATTTTGTCAGTTTCTTTCTAGTACTGCAATTTGTTCTGGTAGATGGCATAAAAGAAGGATGTTTAGGCCTCTGATTTGTAGCCCTGGGTTCAAAATCTCTCAAGTTTCATTCTTTAATAAATGTGCTACCTTCCTAGAAAGAAAAGAGTCACCAACTAAACCAAAGTAAATTGAGCTTCTTTGTTTAAACAGAAAACATGTTTAAGGAATCAGTTAGTTTAACCTGCTCTCCCCTGAGATACACTACTGTCAGGTGCAGTTGTAGCACTTGTGGTGTAAAGGATTAAATACACCTTGCCAGTAGTGAGATGTAAGGTACCACATAATATCCTTTGGGCAGAAATTTGTCACTTCATTTTATTTGTAAAGCATCTTGCCCACTTACGAGCCTGAATAAATAACACTTGTCCATTGTCACATCCAAATCACATTGTCACATGATTGCTGGCATCTGCACCAGGTGACTTGGACTAACACAGTACTGGTGCAGATAGCTTTGTGTAAGCACTGCGCTTTTACTGCTGAGCATGAAATTCGCCAACATATCTTTAAAAGTGGTACGGACGAGGCGAAGGTGGAGGGTAAAAGCAGAATAAGAAATGTAGACTTTCTTGCACCATAAGCTGACCTGGAAAAACCTTTGAGAGGTCTGGTCTTTTTCCCTGTCAATGCTCTCAAATACTGCCATTCTTAGCCGGGGAGGGCAGGGCAGGGCAGCTAGCAGTGATGCAATGGGCAGACAATAGTGAAGACTGGTTTCTAACCATCAGAGAAGTGTGTCCTGTTCCCCCCTCCTCCCTTGGAAGGGAGTCCCAGAACTAACTTATTTTAAGACTGAGCTTGATAAGTTTATGAAGGAGATGGTACGAGAAGATTGCCTGTAATGGCATAAGGCCATCTGCAACTGCTATTAGCAAATATCTCCTATGGCCATAGATGGGGGGAGGGTTCTGATTTACTAGAGACAATTATTTCCCAGGTGTCTGGCTGGTGGCTCTCGCCCATATCATCAGATTCTAACTGATCATCGTACTTGGGGATGGGAAGGAATTTTTCCCCAAGTCAGAGTGGCAGACAGCCTGGCTTTTTTTAAAACCTTCCTTTGCAGGGTGGAGCGTGGGTCACATGCTGGTTTGAACTAGAGTCTCTGTACTTGAAGTCATTAAATCAAGATTTGAGGACTTCAGTAACTCAGCCAGAGGTTATGGGGCTGCTACAGGAATGGATGGGTGAGGTTCTGTGGCTTGCAATGTGCAGGTCAGACTCGATGATCTTGCTGGTCCCTTGTGGCCGTCGAGTCTATGCCTACAGGATGTTGTATGTACTATGGCGCATTAGTTCCCAAGTGCTGCTAGGCCCTCTCCTGCCCCAGTGCCAGGTGCTGAGGCCGGTTCTCCCTTCCTCTGCTAAAGCCGGGCTCCTGCTCGCAGCCCCTCGCCTCCTTCTCCTCCAGCCCCAGGCCCCGAGTGCCAGTTAAGAGACTCAGTCTGTCTCAACAGCTAGGAACGGGCCCCAGCCCAGCTGCCTTCCATGGGGGCCCTGCTCCAGCAGGGGAGCGGGCAGCTCTCCGTGCAGAGCCGCTGGAGCGGGCGCCCGGGCTCCACGCACTTGCTTTGCATGGGGGGCGGGGGGGCAGCGCCAGCTCCCACCGCTCCCCCCTCACCCCAACGGGCCGAGCCGGGTGAGGCAGGAGGAGCCCAGTGCCTGCCTGGCCCCGGAGGGGTGATACCACCCCCGGACGAGACCATTCTGAGAGGGGCGACGCCCGGCCGGCGCTGTGGAGTGCGCCGGTCTCCATGGGAACGTTGACAGCAGGCGCCGGGCCTGAGGAGAGCGGAGCGGAAAGAGCAGCCGGGCGGCGAGGAGAGGGTGGGGGGAGGCTACGTCCACCAGCGGGCTTGGGGGAGGAGCTGGTGGGTTGGAACCTGGGCTAGGGGTGCGGGGGGTGTCTGAGCCTTGGCGTGGGGGGAGAGAACGGGGTGGGGGGGGGGGGCTGGGCCCAGGGCGTGTATGTCTGGAGGGGGCGGCTGAGACCAGGGTGTGTGTGGGGTGGAGAGGTGC